CCCCCCCCCCCCCCCCTTTTTTTTTGTCACGGTGTAAACTAATTTTATGGCTGTTTACTCTCCACTTTGACATGCATTTGTAACCTCTTGGCAGGTCATGCCTTTGAAGCCAGGATATATGCTGAAAATGTTCCCAAAGGATTTCTTCCTGCAACTGGGGTCCTCAGTCATTATCACCCTGTTGCAGCCTCATCATCAGGTGCCATAATACATACTTGAGGCTAATAAACTTTAGGCTGTACGATAAATTCTTCTCATCTTATGAAGTTTTATTAGTCACATAAGACATTCTGTTACTTTCATATTCCGCTTAGCACTGCTTGAAAGTCACTGTACTTTTTAACTGAATTGACTGGGTATTAATGATTTCACTTTCAACTACTTTTTGTATCTGTCTTCGGCCCTTCTTCACTGAAATTCTGTATCATGTAGCAGTCAGGGTTGAAACTGGAGTCGAACAAGGAGATACTGTTAGCATGCACTATGATCCTATGATTGCTAAGCTTGTTGTCTGGGGAGAAAATCGTGCTGCAGCATTAGTAAAACTGAAGGATTGCTTATCGAACTTTCAGGTGCATTACCTTGGACCTTTTCGATTTGTTCTGGAGTTTGTGTGCTAGCAATGGCACCTCAATGTTTGTAGTGCTTTAAAGCGTAATTTGTTTTTTACTTTTCTTAAAATTGTCTAGGCATTCTGGTTCCACTTGCGAATGTCTTTCATAATTTTTCATAATTCTCATATGTTGGTTCTCAAGCAATACAACAGTTCGTATAATTACTTTCTATTCCTTTGGCAGGTTGCAGGCGTACCAACAAATATAAGTTTCCTTCAGAAACTTGCTAATCACAAGGAGTTTGAAGTGGGCAACGTAGAAACTCATTTTATCGAGCACCATAAAAACGACCTATTTGTTGATCCAAATAACCCAGATGCAGCAAAAGTGGCATATGAGGCAGTTAAACATAGTGCGGCATTGGTTGCTGCATGTATATGTGCCAGTGAGCACTTAGTTTGGAAGGAGAGTTCTCATAGTGAGTTCCAACTAACCCCAGTCTCTTTTATGCATGTTACATGATTCTTGAGCATGCTGTAATTGTTACCCTAATCTGTTTCAGGAAGTTCGTTATCCATATGGTATTCAGATCCTCCATTTAGAGTCCATCATAACGTCAGGCACACTATTGAACTAGAATGGGATAATGAATATGACGGCAGCAGCTCCAATCTTTTATCATTTGGCGTTATCTATCAGCCAGATGGAAGCTATCTCATCGAGGTATAAACCCACATCAGATACACCTAAAAGGATGATGCTATAATTTCCATTCTTTTACCGGCTTTCATTTCGTCAATCATTCTTTTCTGCATTCCCTTTGATCACGCTGGCTTGCGTTCACCTTATTTCCCTTTTACATTCTCTCCAATTCATCTTCCCACGATCATATTAACAATGATATGGATCTATTTATTGGGATATTGATGTTTATAAAACAAAACGCAACACAGTTGGGAGACAATGATTCTTCAGGACTGAGAGTTAGAGTAACTCGTGTAAGCAAGTGTGACTTTAGGATTGAAGCCGCAGGGGTGGTCACAGACGTCACTCTAGCTGAGTATTCCAAGGTAACCATCAGCCTTGTAAATCACATTTGGCCATTCACCTCATAATTTTCTTTCCATGTGAATTGTTTCTGCAACCGTTCTGTTCTTTCTGTGTCTCCCTCTCCAAGCTGCAACCTATTATGTGTTTCCAAATCCGATGGCAGGATGGTTATAAGCATATCCACATTTGGAATGGCTTAGAACATTATCAGTTCCGCCAAAAAGTAGGGATGGAGGTGTCTGAAGAGGAAGAAAGTGTCCAACACAGAAGCAGCTTTGAGACAGCATCACACCCTCCAGGGACCGTTGTGGCCCCCATGGCTGGTTTGGTCGTCAAGGTCCTTGTTGAGAACCAAGACAAGGTTGAGCAAGGGCAACGAGTGATAGTCCTCGAGGCCATGAAGATGGAGGTTCGTATGGACGTGTCCTTATACATAAAAAAAAACATTCTTTATCATCTATGGTATATAGATTTCAACTTTTTTTTTTGTTTTCTCATGCGTGATGTTGAACAGCACGTCGTCAAGGCCCCATCTTCTGGATATATCCATGGCCTCGGAGTTAAAGTAGGCCAACAAGTTTCAGATGGTAGTGTCCTCTTCCAGATCAAGGTTAGTATATTCTCTTTGGGACGGGGTTTCAACCGGCATGGTTGTGATCATTAAAGCTTGACTCAAAGCTCCATTTGGTTGCATCTTTGCAGGATAAGTAAACATTATTTCGTTGTTCAATGAAGCATTGGCACTGATTAACCAACCAGACTCTGTCCACTCGCATGCCGAGCCAGTCTATATATAGCAATAAGCATTTTGGGTGTAAAATAAACACAGAACGCTACAGAGATAAATAAAACTACATCCTCTTTAATCGCCTCTTTCTTTGTCAGTGAAGCGTTTCTTTGCATTATTGTAACAAATAATACAGTACACTGATGTTTCTTTCCAGAATCAGTACAAAACCTTTTAAGAGAAAGAAGCAAAGATCTACAGGACAAGTTTTGGGGATTGCCATGGTAACTCGAATTAAAGCCTAGAGGTAAAACAATCAGGACAAACCGACCCATTCCTTGAATGCTAAAGCAGCTTCCCTCTTCTTGAGCTGCGATTCTGTCTGAAACTTTGGGGCCTTTCCCTCACAAATGTTCTTATGATACTTCAAGAAGAGCATTCGGTACTTGTACTTATCAACAAACATATCTCCTTTCTCCATCATCTCCACCACCTCGTTGGCACGTCCAAAAAACCCGCCCCTGACAAATGTATAGAGAACTGAATCAAGCAATTCCTGGTCAAACTTCATCAATTGAGGAGCAGCAGCAGCGATGGATTTCATTTCTCCCCATAACTCTGTTACCTCTGTGTACTTAATACCCCCAATGACCGTATACCCTGTAACCATAGAATGGAAGGTTTGTGCGTTCGGGCAATGCCCGAGACTTCTCATCTTCTTGAGGGCCTTCTCTGCATCTTGCATCAATCCCTTCTTGCTAAAGAAATGGATCACATTGTTCCAATCTTGAACTCCGGCCTCCAAGCTCTGCTCTTCTTTGATTTCTCTCAAGAGTTTTGGCATTAGCCCTCCTCCTGCCTCTGCATCTCCCTCACACAGCCTCTCAAACTGTTGATTCCCGCCTCTCGGTAATTTCTGCTCTTTCATCTCTTTGAATAGGCTGAGAGCCCCAGCAGTATCTTTCTGAATTACTCGGGACTGGACCAGTGCTTCGTAACAGCTCGAGTCTAACTGAATCCCTGCTTTCTGAGCATCTCTCAGTAGTGATGTCACTTCTCTTGTCCGATTTGCTTTGCAGTAAGCTTTTACAAGTGAAGAATACACTGAAGAGCCGGTTCTTACCCCAGCCATACCCATCTCATCGAGAAGATCATGTGCCTGATCTAACTTCCCTAATGCAATACATACATTGATAACGTTAATCAGCATCGAGTTATCACTGGAGACAGGGGAGTCTTCTTGTTCTGCCTTTACTAGAAACTCTGTCAAATCCTTGATCTTCCCACTTTGCAAGTACCCGTTCACTAATTTCACATAAATTTCCTCTGTTGGCTGGAGAATACCACGTTCTGAGGTGATCAACTCAACTTGCACATGCAACTTATCCAACATAGCATCAAGAACATCCTTCGCCTCAGCTTCAAGCTTCAAGAAATTTCTATCTCTGGAGAACTCTTTGTATGAGATCATAACGTTTATAGAAAACGCTCGATGATTGAGACCGTTGGATACTTTTGTTCCTTCTCCAGGATTTGATCTATCATCAGCAGTATCAAGTTCAAGAATGGCTGTCCCGAGCGAATTCCTTGCCACCCTTGCCTTTCTTAGCATTTCCAGAACCATTCTTGAAGCAGACTCGAGGTCACCAAATTTCAGATGGCACATAAGCAAGCAATTATGAAACTGCCAAAACTGAGATTCATTCAGGTTACAAGCTTCATCTATATATCTCTGAAGCTTTCTTAGTTCCTCTCTTCGCCCGTTTCTTTCATATATATGAGCCATTATGATCAGTAACTTCGTGTCAGCTTTTACACCGATTCTTGGCATCATATCCAGAAGCTGTTCAGCTTTTCTTGTTGTTCCAAACAACAAACAACCAGCCAAAGCAGCATTGAACGCAACGGTATTAGGCTTCATTGCAAGCAAAGGGGCGTTACTTTTCTTACGAGGATCGATCCTGTTATTCTGAAACAAGAAACCAATCTCAAGAACCAACTCAGCGGAAAGATAAGCTCCCGGCCCGGCAAGAGACATGTGTGCCGATACAGCTGACCAAGCATTCACCGGAGGAAACAGTTCTGTCTCGACCAACTTTCTCAAGATCGTTGATGCAGGAATTGCCATGCCCGACTTGGCAAGAGCCAAGGAGAGATAGATAAGAGGCTCCTTTTCCAGCAGATTCTGTTTGCTCTCTTCGAAAGCACGTTCTACCAATCCATTAGCCTTTTCTAGCCAATTGGCGTCAAGACTTTCAGCAAAACATATCAAAACGTTGTTCACGACCGATTTTCGAGGGAATCCCTCCATCTGCATGTGCCGTTCGAACAGCCTCCAGGCATCATCACATCTACGTTCATCGACGGCAATCTGAATTTCCTCATTGAGTTTAGCAGGATCCCTCGCCTGAACTAGTATGGATTCAGCAATGGTCGAAAACGATTTTGTACAACTACGGTTCCCAGAGAACAAACTGAGGTTTCTTCTAGCATGAGAGACAACAATCTTGCCCACCAGACTAGACCCGAAATCAGATACAGTTTGTGTAGTTCCACCAGAAACCCCATGAAACAGACCATATAAACGAGATGGGCACATCTTAACTGCTCGAATCTTCGCTTTCCTCCATGGAATCATTGCTTTTTTAACCAACGAGAACCAGGAAAGAAGGGTTAAAGGGTCGAGCTTTAGAAGAACCCAGCTTCCAACGAAAGAAAAGACTCGATCTTTGACAAGCCACCGAAGCCGGGTTTCTCACGCGGTCTGTGAAAGTAATTGAGGATCGCCATTTATGATTCAGCTTCGTTGAGTCATTCCACCGAACAAGTCGAGGGCAACACAAAACCGTGCGCCAAATAGCAAACCCATGCGGAAAAAGACGGAAGCTTTGGTCGCAATAAGAGTAAGATTATCACAGCCAGATAGCAGAGACAAAACTCGAAAGGGAAGACAAAAGTGAATATGCTGTCGCAGTTCCGTCACTGTGCTTCTCGGAATTGATAATGCCAATCGCCAGATGACGGAAAACTCCAAAAACCCTAAACCCAGCGAAATTTCTTCTTTTACCCGGTAATTGAATTCATGCAATGCAACATCTTATAGTTAACCGAGACATTACTTCTCGGAATTGATAACGCCATTCTCTGTTTTTTTGTTAGAAGAATGAACTGTGAAAAATGAAAGTTATTCAAGGCAAAAAGCTATTAGCATCCGTGACCGTATGATAGAAAACAGCGTTTCGAAACGCAATTCCCAAACGGTCCGAATATAATCAGCGATTGCGTCGGGTGTTTACACACAAGCTGCTTAAACCCTAAAGCTTGACCCTTTTTGGCTCTTGTGACAATGGAAGACTCTCACATTGAAGATGGGGAAACCCAAGGCAACGTCGAGGTTGCTCCGGCATTGATTTCCGTCCACCCATCTCAGAACTCCGTCGCCGTCTCTGTCGGGTCGGATCTGCGCGTCTTCGACCTCGTGTATGTTCACCAGAACCTTCCAATTCGGCCTAGCCGAAATTCGAGCGTCTACATTAATTGACTCGAGAAGATGTCTCTTTCTAGTGTTATGGATGTATGTTTTGATTCCGGTGTAGGTTTTTCATATCAACAATGTGGGTTTATCGTTTTTTGTTTGATTTGTTACCGAGTAGAGTTAAAACCCGGATTGTGATTTTGCCATCTCTTAGTGGGTCGTGATGAACTTTGACGCATGATAATCTTGTGTTAACTTGCTATTGATTAGCCGCTTCCTGTATTCTACTTTGGATAGGTTCAGAACAGAGGAGTGTTTGTTGAAGTTATATTTATGTGATAGTATCTAACGTTTCGGTGGCAGAGATAAGTGTCCAGCGACTTTGGTGGATGATTCTGGAGGGCCTTCTCATAAGGATTCTATTAGGGCTATTCGCTATGGTGCAAATGGGAGACTATTTGTATCTGCAGGCGATGATAAACTCGTCAAGATTTGGTCTGTAGGGTCTTGGCATTGCATCAGCACTGTGTAAGTAGTAAGAGAGAATATCATACGCATTTGCCCAATCATTCCCTGTTATTAGAGCTCCAATCTTCTAAATTTATGAACGGGTTCTTATACTTTATCTCAAGCTGTGTAGTCTTATCAGCAAAATTGTGCAGATGTTCTGAGAAGAGAGTCACTGCTGTTGCCATTAGTAACGATGGTCTGCACGTTTGCTATGCGGATAAGTTTGGTGTTGTGTGGGTGGTTGAGTTGGATGGGATCAATGAGGGTAAAGTTCTACCTAGTAAGAAGACTGCACCAATGCTTTCCCATTACTGTAGCATTATTACGAGTCTGGTAAGTAATGTTCCATCACGTAAAGTATCTTTCTTTCATTCTAGTCCATCACTGTCATATTCACTCTTGTCATCTGCTTGATTGTTGTTCTGTGGCCACGGATTTCTTCTGTTGTGGAATGTTATGGAAAATGCCAAGGTCTGGCTATTTCATGCTTTCTTGACACAGTTTTTGTTGACAGGAGTTTTCACCTGATGATTGTTATATTCTTAGTGCTGACCGTGACTTTAAGATTCGGGTAAACAGCTCTAACCCAATTAGTTTAACTTGTTAGACTGTGCTTGTTTGGCATCTTTTAATGAAATACTTCTATCATCACAGGTAACTGTATTCCCCAAGAAGCCTCTAGAAGGGGCTCATGAAATACAGAGTTTTTGCTTAGGCCACACAGAGTAAGTGAATTCTTGAGAAACATGTACTCTCATCCCAAATGTTTTGCTTCTTTTTTTTACTTAATATTTCTGTATAGATTTTATGAACCAGCTCATGACAGACATATGGTTATTAATCCTCCCCTGTTTGTTCTCGTCTGCAATTAGGTTCGTTAAATGCCTAGCCTTTGTCCGCACTCCAGAATTTCCCCAGGGATACCTTGTGTCTGGAAGTGGTGATTCAACTGTAGGAACTCTTTAAAATCTATATCCCGGCTTGTTTTAGTCATTTATGTCAATAGAATATTTTGCTAAATCGCTTATTGATGATATTTTTCCCAGGTTCGGTTGTGGGATATCACCTCTGGATCTCTACTTGATACTTGTAATGTTAGCACAAAGGTGAATATCTCTATTGTCTGTTGCACTTTTTGCCTGCAACTGTTGTTACTTAATTTTCATCAGGGTCAGCCTTTTGGTTTTTTTGGCAGCCTTTATGGGTAGACCAATCTTTTTCTTAAGCAAAAAATTTTGTACTCTTATCACAAAATAAATTGGTCACCTTTTGAATGATCTTTGGTTATTGAAGGCAGGACATGTAGAGTCTGATGAAGGTGAACCGACCCAATGTACTGTTACAGACATATGCACCATCCCGAATTCATCTCTTGTGGCTGTGGCCATTCAGAGGCAAGTCTAGCTGTTGCATCATCTACTTTTGTATGTTCCTGTCAACATATCTCCCTCTTTCAGATCCATATCTTAGTACTTTTACGTTGTTTAAATTCAGCTTACAAGGAATAATGCTGCTAAGCTGCGACGTATTGGCCCGGAACCTGTCTATCACTAAGGTCTGTACCATAGCCTGGCATGAATATGTCATGAGGCATGTCCCTGTATAATCATGCTTTGAACCATATTGTTACCTTTTATATCATCCTTATTCAAACTTTTCCTCTTTGAATAGCCAACTTGAAACCTTGGTATAGTGAAGTGAGTTTTTGGATGGGTGAATATCATATATACGCAGGTGATCACCATCCCTGGAGAAAGCTTCATCCCCACAAGTATATGTATGGGGGTCAGTAGTTCAACCAAGGAGTTGTTAGTATGGTTGGTAACAGGTGCTTCTAACCTGCCTAGTTCGAGCCATCCATCGTTTTCCCGGGTAAGGGCCATCTCTCTGTCCAAGAAACCCGATGGAGAAGCCATCGATAACGGGCACTCTGTGGTGGAAGATGAACTGATTCCAGGAGGGATGAAACTGCTGGAGAAGTTGCAGGGTAAGGTCTCCATAGAAGAGGAAGTCATATGTGCTGCTACAGAGGCTGTGAGGACAGCAATGTCTAGCCTTTTGATGAAGAAGCAGTACTCTTCTGAGAAGCGTGAATTCAGGAAGAGGACCCGAAATGATAAGAAAAACGTTCACTGATGATGGATGGCAATGCCATGCTTCATTATTGTTTTTTGTAACATTGAGCTTCATGTTTCCGCTTTGGAATTTCCCACCATCCCATTTGTTAGACCGTACCTTTTCTTTTTTCTATAAAGATTATTAACATTCGGATCTCAGAAGAACCAAATCAACATCTAAGAGAGTTCTTCGAAATAGAGTTTTTTTTTTTTGGGTTCTTTTATAAATACAGATGGGCATGACATGTATCATGCATCAGACAACAACAGAGTAATGGCAGTTCTAAAGCAATTAAGTTGTTTTCTTATGACACGACATGGTTTAGGTCGTGTATATGTTATGGCTATTGCTTCTTAGTATTCCCACATTATGCAATGAATAAGAACTGAAAACGGCATTAACAAGGGAACTGGGGATACAATGATGTCCTTACAACGAGCATATTACCAGAAGCACAATGCCTACAGCACCGTCCGGCAAGCTAAGCTACAAACAACAAATGACAAAGCAACGGCCGGAACATACACACACACATACAGTGTATGAACCAACCACCTGAGCATAGACCAGACACTAACAAGTATCAGCAAAAGAGCTGGTGGCCAGGCACATCCGCGTACAACATGTACCCTGTTACAATTCAGGCACTTGAATTAAGTTCTCAAGATTTTTGTTTTTCACATATATTCTTACTATACACATCATAACTGGAAGGGAAGAGGTGCAAGTACCTGGCGAGCAGCTACATGAAAGGATCCATTCTCTGAGGAGACTGACCATTGGGGAAGACCAGTGACAAGGAGAACCAGAGAGCTGACACTCTCAGGAGATGCAAGAAAAGCGAATGATGGGTGTGACCAGTATGGTTTTGTACTGACAAACTTTCCGTTCTGAAACAATCAGTCTGACTTCCTCTTCCCGCTTTTCTTTTTCAAAAAGTACGAAAAGAGGCGAAGAGGAAGAGTGGTTTAGCAGGAAGTGAGCAAGAGTCAGTTAGATTTTACACCTTTAAGTCTGGAGAGAAATGGAGTTGAAGGAAGAGAAGACTTGATGACTGAGAATATGCCCTAGAAAGTAAGAACAGAGAGACAAACAAAAGCTCTACACTAACAGAAATATAAGACAGAACTATAGGAACTACCCAATGCGAAACAGACTTAGAGAGGACAGAGAGGGTTAGGTTCGAAAGAAATCTAGCCATGAACCAGTTCGAAGTTCTATGGCATATACAGGATTTCAAGATGCTGCATATCCTACTCTAGAAAGAAACTACCAGGAATGAACAACTCTAAGAGAACCTATACGAAGACCAAGGTAAGAAGCGAAGTGAACGTGTTTGAGACCAGTAAGTTATGCCATCCTATGCCCAACCAACATTCAGGTGCTCACCCATGCATTCGCTTTCCTTGCACAATTTCCATATACTTCTCCCCATGCCAATCACCTTCTCAAATCCACAACTCATTCTCCATCAGTAACGCCCCCATCTACATAGGAAAACCAGAAACTGCAAACCTGCCAGAGCCAAGACTGCTACCATGTTCCTCCACCATCACCATGAAAAGGTACGCAAACCCAAACCAGCTTGGTGACTAACACCTTATTCGTATATATAGAAACTAAAACTAACCCAGTTCCCTGCTTGATAATTTACGGGAGAGCACGATCCTGCCCCTCATTTGTCGCAATATCAAGGTTGAGAATGCGACGTAGCGTCTTAGTCGCAGAGTCCACACTTCGAAAGAGTTCTTCAACAGAAGAGTTGTGGACTCTCGTAGGAGAAGCTGGTGCAGACTTAGCAACTGGACGAACATCAACAAGAGGGTCAGAAGCAGGCAGATTCAGCGAAACAGTCCTCTTTTGCTGGAGAGAAAACTTGGGAATTGGCACAGAACTAGGTGGCGGAGAGTTGGAATAAGTAGGCCCTGCCCAAAGTTCAGAGTTAGAAAGGCTTCTACTTTCTTGGAGGAATCCACTAGAACACCCATCATTCTGGGAACCATTACTAGAGATTGGGATCGGGCAGCTTCTAGCATTGTCAACAGACACAGAATTAGCAGGGGAAGTTACTGACTGATGGGAACGGGCCTTAGCCGAAGAAGCAGCAGGAGACGGAAACAGAGGAGCACATCCGGTTACAGTTGTAGAACAAGTCCTGTTTGGCCTTGGGAGCAAACCCTCCCCAGACTGAAATGTCCGGCAGTTTATTTGCCTGAAAGTTTTGGATGGAGATGACCCGAAAGGACCAGGTCCATAAGACTTGGCCCTCCCATAACACTGATTCCTATGCTCTGTCGGTACAAATAGCATTTCCACTGAGACAAACACTCGGTCAACAGTAAGGAAATCCACTAAGACCATACACTACAATACACCTAGAGAGGTCCACTATTACAAGGACACTAAATTCTTTCAGATTCTCCACTCAAATCAGAATCAATCGTCACCACAAACGCGGATCAAATCACCATAGCGGCTTCGCTCGGTTCTACACGAAAATAGATCAGAAGCGAAAAGATATTCCTTGGAATCAGATTCAATTGAGGATAACAGATTCAGATGGCCAGGTCCTCTGAGCTGCAGAAAACAATTTTAGCCATACAAAACAAGAAGAAAAACAAACAGTAAATCACCATGTAAGCAACGAAAAATGCAGCGATGATCAAAACCAGAATAAGAAGTCCTGAAAACGATGCAAATATTACAGTTTTCATGACGGAGAAATCACCTGGAAAAGCCCCCAGTGTGCTGAAAAAAGGATGAAGATCCAACACAACACATGCGATCAGAGAGAGAGAGAGGTTAATATCCTCTTCTTCTGGTCATGGTCACTGAGAGGAATCGTTTTTAGGGTTTTAAACCTCTAACAGAAATGAAGATCCGAGGGAAAGAAGGAGGTGACAAGACAGTACGTAGTATCCAAAGAAGCTGGGTCTATTGATGGATGGCTAATTCACATAAATGCCATCGGCTTGATTATTTACCGTTTTGCCCTTACGCTTTATTGATTGGGGTACAGTTAGTTATACGTTAATTTAATCAATCAATGCAAGGCATTAGAAAAACAGCTCCAAAAAATAAAACTAAAATCATACGTTAAACTAGAAAAAGAATATTGAAACTTAGAAGAATTATTTAATGATGAATGAGCATAGAAAATATAACTAATTCTTTGTACTATAACTAAAACCACACAAAAAAAAATAAATGTAATATCTTTTTATAATTAAAAAGTGTATATTGAAGAGAAAAAAAAACGATATGTTTCGCTCATGTTGTTCACAGATTATAAACAATTATTAAAGAAGAAGCATTATACCCGGAAAAAGGTTGAATTATAGAGCTCCAAGACAGATCATTATCCATTAGTTTTCCTTAATAATGCCCTCCATAATTATTTTTGGCTAAAAAAGTATGAATATCCAGAATTGCATTGGTTATATATGGCGGAAATTAAGTATACGGTCTCCCTAATTTCATCAAACTATAAGCATTTACATGTTGCAACTTATGCAATAGCCTATAGCCTTAACTAGGGTGTCAATTTAGACCCGAAACCCGATCCGACCCGGTCCAGCCCAAAAATTAACGGACTTTGGACTTACCTGGACAAAATTAGACTTTTGGACTGGATTCGAATCAGATACGAGCCTTCTCGTCGTCTCGATCGGGAGAATGATCTTCGCGAATGTTATATGGGTGGTCTTCCCAATAATGATTCTGCTTGATAGCATGCCGACAACATCAGAGACTCCGTTATTGGATCTGAGAAAAAAGATCAGAAAATTAACAGTTAAATAAGGATGAATATCTAGAGATGGGGTAGGATTTTCTTGGAGCACAGGAAAGTCTTCGAGTTTCCGACGTTAGCAACCAATATCTTTCCATCTACCATCAGAGATATCGTCGCTGTAGAACCCGCATGGAAGCTTGTGCATCCTTCACCAATCAAAAGCTTTATCAGAATCACTTCGTGTTTATATATATATGCGCGTGCGTATATATATATCCATACCACAACAAAGATGGTATTGATGTCATTGATGGGGGAATATTACAAAAATACCTTTAAATGTCGATTTCACTTACATGACATACCCTTTAAAAAAAAACCTTCAAAAAAAAACTGAAAAAGAATGAAAAGACATCGTTACCCCTTTTAAAAAATACACGTGTCAACATCTGAAGGAGAAAGACCAAAAGTTAGGAAGTTATTAAATTAAAAAAATTTAAAAAACCAAACAGTTTTTTCTCCTTTTCGACAGACACTTTCATTTCTTCACAGTGTTGTTTATTCTTCGTTTTCTCTTCACTCTTTGATTTCTCTGTGCGATTTTTCTGTGCGAGTTCGTGTTTGCAAGTAAATTTGCACGAAGAATGGCTTCGTCTTCATCGTCTTCGGCCCCCTCTTCGGACCCTACTTGCGAAAACCTCCACGTATGATTTTTGGACTCCGCAAAAATCAAATTTTTTAGGGTTTCGGGTACACATTGAGATTTGGTTTTAGATTTTCTATTAAGTTTTCGTTAGAGTTTGAAATAAAAATTTGAAAAATTATGGTTTGAATGACAAATTGTCACCGAAATATAGAAATAGGGTGTGACACCCGTAACCCGTGTACAGTATACGGGATGTGCCACATGGACAAATTGGAAAAAAATAATAATGCGGAAGCAAAAATACGAAATCCAAAAACATTTTTCAACTAATAGAGTAAGCAGCGGAAAATACAACAGGCGATCAATATCGCAAAATAACACATGTCCGAATAGTTATAATTTAACCGTACAAAATGTGGGAAATACAAGTCCCGTAACCCAAAATGTAAATCCCGTACATGATGCTGCCTCTCTCAGGTCGTCGTCTGCCGGATGCGCTAGGCGTAATCCTCGTGATCTGAAAAATATAAACCACGAGGGCTAAGCACAACTGCTTAGTGAGTAGCCCGGGTTGAACCCGGTAAACCCGTTCTCAGCAAGAACGGTGTTAATTCGATGATTCACAACCAACAAACAACAATGATATCCATGCATAACCACATCACATCAGTCACAAATATGTCAAACACAATCATACCCATATGACATCACATCATAGGGTTAGCCAAAGGTCCTAGTCATATCAATATGACTAGAAGCGTCTCACACACGCCCGTCACTCGCGTGACGTTGGCCATCGCATCACATGCGACTACACGCGTCTCCTGCGCCTGTCACTCGCGTGACCTCCGATGTCAAGTCCATGACACAACGGAAATACAAACATACCCGTATGGAGTCCACCATAGGGTCCAGCCCTAACCCTAGTCAAGTCCATGACTAGGGGCGTCTCGCACGCCCGTCAAGTCCATGACGTTGGCGTTGGCCGTGTCAAGTCCATGACACAATAAACACAACACCCGTATAGAGTCAACCGTAGGTTCTGCCATAGCCCTAGTCAAGTCCATGACTAGGGGCGTCTCGCACGCCCGTCAAGTCCATGACGTTGGCCGTCGTGTCGCACACGACTATATCACAAACACAATCATGCTGCACTCGTCGCACGAGTGAGCTACAAACATGGCAATCAACGTGCATATCTTCCCAATACAATCACGTGTATCGCGATATTCGGTCCCGACCGAGATACCGGTTAACGCCATGCAAACTACCCATAATAATCACGCAACGAGTCACTCCAATCGTTGTATCGCACATCTCACGCACGCGGGATTCGAAAATCATCCGTAAAAGAGTTCCGTACCCTAGAACGGTCGGTCCAGGGTGTGGACCGGTCGGTCCAGGGGTCCCATGCTGTCCCGGGGCTTCTCGGGACAATTTTTGAGGTCTGGGGATGCCAGAACGTCCGTTCTGGGTCACCAGACCGTCGGGTCTGCAAAAACAGACCGTCCGTTCCAGCTCTGTTCTCTCTCGCGAAACAGTTTTCTGGTCCGACTTCGTTCGACCATATCTCCCTCATTTCTCAACCAAATTCAGTCCCGTCTGTTGCTAAATGTTCATTGAAGTGTCTTCTATCTAATCCAAGCAACAAACCATCGAAAAGACACAATAGCACGCTCAGAACGAGCTCACACAGATGGAACTCGAGCCACTCACCTCTGTTTCGGCTCAGATCTGGTTTGGCCGGATTTTGTAGCGTTTTCCGGTTTGTTCCTCACCGAAAACCTCTCCTACACAGTCTAGGGATGTCCCCCCTTGCTTCCCCGAGCTTCCCTTGCGCTGGCTCTCCTCCTTTCTCCCCTTTTCTCTCTCTCTCTATTTCCTCTAGTTTCAGTCCGAAAATGGCTGAGTCTGGGGGTTGAGGGAGGTTTATTGCGTGTGAGGGAGGCGTAATGGGCTCAAGCCCAGGCCCATGGTCAAGCCTGCAACGCCCTGAGCGGATTGGGCGGCGATTTGACGCCGGTGGGCCCTGGGAACGCAGAGGAATACGCGTCCCAAGGGAGCAAGTTGGCCACTTGCGTTCTGCCCAACAGACCGTCCGTTCTGGGACTAGAACGGACGGTCTGGGCCCAACTTCGGCCCAGCTCTTCGCTCGTTCGTGGTCCGTTCGTTCCGCCTTTAGCAGTCCGTCCGTTCTGCATTTGCCAGACCGTCCGTTCTGCATTTCTGGTCCGTTCCAACTGACTTCGATTGCTCCGTTCTCACTCGTTTCTTACCCGAATCGCGCACCGTTTGTTTCTACACCTTCCTTGGAACGTCCTCTTTCATGTCCAATCAATAGATTATTGGAAACTCATATTTGCAAGATGAGGTACAACTTAAAACGTCCGTACCTCGAATAACTTGTGAATTCCGAATTTCCAAGTTCTACTCAATTTTCGTTTGCTCATAACTTCCTCGTTTCTCAGTCAAATCGAGTGTCGTTTTCTTCTAGATCTTCGTTGAAATATTCTCTATATTTTTGCCTTGTTTTACCCTCTTTTTATTCCCGAAAATAATTTAAATAATTTATACGGGAATCGGGGTATTACAAATCCTCCCCCCTTAAAAAGAATTCGTCCTCGAATTCTAAATCGCGCGATATTATCAAACTTCCTGGCAATCGGTATCATCACCAAAATATATCCGTCTCATCACATCATCTGAATAACAAGTCTGACACAGATCACAACGTCATACATAAGGGTTCGTACACGCTCAAGTAAACAGATGAGGATAAGTACTACGCATCTCTGTCTCGGGTTCCCAGGTCATGTCTGAGACCCCTTGGCTCCGCCACAAAACCTTCACGAGTGACACCTCCTTCGTCCGCAGCTTCTTGACCTTCCGGTCCACTATCTGCAGCGGCTCGTCTCGAAAACGCGTAGCCTCCGTAAACTCCAATCCCTGTGGCTG